TATGAAAAGCTTACTTCTTTTCGAGTTCTTTTTTCAATCGAGAAATTTCTTTTTTTTGGTTTTCTCGTATATCGTTCGTAGCATCACTTTCTTGTACTTTGAATTCCAATTGGTCTTTTAAGACCTAAAAGTTAGTTATTTTTTATATCTTTTATATCTGTATAGCTAATTCAGATTTACTGTGTAAAAACATAACGAATTCTTACCTCAAGTGATTTTACTCGTTTTCCTAATTTGTCGTTTTCGGATCGAAGGCGTTTAATTTCAACCGTCATTGCAGATTGATCCTTTAGTTGGGCATTTTTTTGATCTAAATCTTGCTTTAAATTTTCAGCTTCAGTACGAAATTGCTGGGCGGCTTTACGAAAAACTTCAATTTCTTTATTTAGTAATGCTAGTTGCGTTTTTGACTTGGTTTGGTTTTGTTCCAGAAATGCAATGCTTTCTTTATGTTGAGTAAGTTCTGAGGTGACAGTGTTCAAAAAAAAGTCAAAAATACACGTCAAATGAACTTGCAAGTACTAGACAAAGAAAAAGCTATAACCTTTTTCTTTTGTTTTAAAAAGGTTTAGCAACTGATTGGTTTGAATGATCCGTTCTTTAAGCTTTTTAATATTTTCTGATGACTTGGGTTTTGTAGACTTGTTCGAATTGCATGTGGACTGTTTTTTCTCGGTGTGTGTTTCCATTTGAAACGAGTGAACCTTTTCGAAGAAACAAGTGAATTCTACATCAATGATAATTTTAAGCTAACATTTGAATAGTGTTTGATGATTGGCCATATGCATCTACGTGTCCCCGAGTTTATAATTTTTTATTTGGGTCAAATAAACCTGGATTGGGTTCAAATGAAACCGGATTGGGTTTACTTGAACCCGAACCCAGCTTGGTTTACCTTGAACCCGAATTGGGTTTACTTAAATAAACCCGAATTGGGTTTAAATAGGTTTACTTGAATCCGAATTGGGGTTAAGTAAATCTGGCTTGGATTTAAATAAATTGTGTTTAATTAAACTTGACTTGAAATTAAATAAATTTAACTTGGGTTTAAATAAATATAGCTAGGTTTACTTGGGTTTAAATAAATCTAAATTGGGTTTATTTAAACCTAATTAAACCTAATTTAGGTTTATTTAAACCTAAATAACTAAATAAATTTTAATTAAATTTAAAATTAATGATTTTTTCAAACTCTTTTCTGGTCAACAATATAAAATAAACTACAGCTAAATAATATAAAAAAGTAACTAGTCTTGGTTCTACTATAAGTAAACTGCTATCAATGAAATCTAAGCTAAACATAATATACTAAAAAACAAGTATTTTCTAGTATTTTTTTTGAAATCAAATCTTTTCTTTTTAGTAGACTTTTCAAGATATTTGGTATTTAAATCAAAAAAGATATTCTAAGAACTAAAATTATATTGTAATATAACTACTTGGCTTAACCTAATCCTAAATATATTAATAGCAAATGTATTGTTACTAGTTAAATTAAACAAATATATTTCTTGACTTAATGTATTAAAGTGGTTAAGAAATATACTTATAGAAGAAAATATAAGAAAAGCCTAAAATTAAGCAAAAATACTATAAGATAACTAATTAAAAATTAAAAATAACTAATTTTACTCGAGTATAAATCAAAAATATCAATAAAAAAACAATAATTTCACTATAAAAATACAATAAATCTACTATAAATATTTAAAAAAAAATATATAATAATAAGATTTTACTACAAGAAAATAATTAAAAAGAAGACTTAAATATATTTCAAAATGATGTAAATAATTAAAAAAACAAGTATAGAGTATATAATAATATTTCTTTGTCTTAAAAAAAAAGACAAAGTTTAAATATCTTTCAATAATATTATAATATTACTGTATAAACTAATGTTATACAATAAAGCAATAATGATAAAATAAATCATTGTAATAATGAAATAAATCATTATAATAATAGTTTGTGCTTTTATTCAAGTCATTATTCTACAATAATAATACTAAAAATAACTATAATAATATTATTCTACAATAAATTGCTATTCTACAATAATAATATTATGTATTACTATAATAATTATTATATAATACTGTTATAGAACAGTTTAAGTTTATTATTTCGATATTGTATTTTATTATTTATTATTAGTTATTATCTTATTACTTTATTATTATTTAGTTATTATTATTAAAGTAAAATTTCATATCAGCAGCAAAAAACTCTTTCTGCTGATCTACATTTTGCAACGAATTTCTAAACAACTCAAGGCTAAATTATTATTTTTAGAAAAACTAGTATAAGAAACAAGGTCTCTTGTACTAAACAAAAAAGAACAACAACAAAAA